CGCGCATGCTCCCAGCGTTGCGTGACTTCAGCTGTCGTAGCAATATCATTTTGGCATTTGCCCCTTTTTTTATCTGATAAACGCAAAAGCTTTTTTCTAAAAATATTGAATGTAGTTTTATTTTATTTATTTATCTTTTCATAGTGAAATATTTTTATTCCCTCAGGGTTCATTGTCTTGTACGGAGGTTATATCGCAGCTGTCGTTATAAGTCGACTCATCTTTAACAAACTACGAAATAAGAAATCAAGTAATAGTGTTCCAACTGTTTCTGAAGGTGTCAGTATACAAGCAGCCAATTACTGGAAGGAAACTACAGAAAACGGAATGGCTGGTACACTGACGAAAAATTAGTAAAATCACACACTGCTCTTGTTTGTTTTGTTAAACATATAAATAATTACGTAGTGTTTAAGATACCGAGAGTGAGTCATATCTTCTCTATGTAAATAGTCTTTTGAAATTAAATTTATCAACTTTACTTTTCTTTACTTAAATAGGTCAGGCACTCGGCAACTTTAACAATAAGTACACAATCAGCCAATCAGAAGTCACAATGTAAAATACTTTAGGGTGCTACGATAGCATGCGGTCTGCAAAGATACTGTTACATATCTGCTTGTTTGTTAATTTCAGGTAGAAATTCTTTCCGAGGAACTTCAATGATACAGCTCCTTTCTGGATTAAACCAGTTTATTCTTCCTCGATACAATCTGTTAGTACACGATAATTCCACAGTCAGTACGTTTCTCGTTACTTTAAACTTAACAACCTTTATAATACACGCAATAAGTCACAGAGATTCACAATCTCGATAACTTTGCTCTCTACGAGTGCAAAACACACACTTTACGGCTCACAAACTCGAAATAGAATCGTAAATTACTCGAAACTCACCGTAGCTACTGTTCGTTTTACAACCCCTGGCTTTTCTCTGCCAGGCTTATATACTAACGAAGAGAAATCTCCAAAATTCTCGAACTTCGCCGATAATTCGAGAAACATCACGCACGCTACCAGCGCCAAACGCGCCAGCAGCGTCACGTGACTTCCGCTGTCGTAACAATACTATTAGGTCGTTAGGAAATTAATGTCGCTTTTTTAGATGAAAAAACCCGAAAAATTTATATATCAAAACAAAACATTTATTAAATGAAATTGTCTCCATTTTTATTGATGATGCTTTTCCATCTTACAATCAGGTTGTTAATGCCTTGATTAAAGAAATCACTTGCCTTTGAAGCAAAAATCATGTCGTGTCCTTTTTAACACCTTC